TCACACTCACGCTCTTTTATCCATACTTATCATTACTTCTTGAAAATATCTCCTATTCCCATTTCCTTTAGTTAGGCTTTTTTCTTATCTTCAGATATTCTTTTCTTCCTCATAGTCGAATTCTTATTTTGTTCTCCTTTTAACACATTTCTTTTCTGCAACTATTCCCATGTCACTTGCAGTGCTTTTCTTGCCCCCATTACTGTGTCATTCTTTCTTGCTGTTTCATACAAGCCAAAATAGCAACCTTACACACTTTGTCACTGGTTTTCCAATATGAAGTGCCCACAGCATGGCTGGATTATTTTTTTTTTGTTGCAAACTTCAATATGGCTTTACATGTTGCAGAGAGGTGAGGACACTGACAGAACTCAATAATGATCCCAAGGTTTCAGTCTTCCCATTCAAGGTGGAATATACCTTTGCATTCGCCAGTTCCAGTTTTTCATTTTTCTATGATCTTTCAATTCTATTAAGCTTTCTCTAGTATAATTTCAAGCAGTCATTCAAGATAGCTAATTTTGAAGGAAAAGAAAAGATGTTAAAGCACATCTAATTAAGAGATGTGGTTTGATACAGTGTCGTCTTGAAAAAAATTAAGCTGAAGAATAGAAGGACAACTGAAGGGAAACGTGATGGATTAACAACTGGATTAAGGAGAGAAAGCAAAGGCAGTGTTAAAAGGAGGTGGCAGGTTGAAAGTAGCTTGCTAATAATGTTTCTCAGCAGATGTTTTTTGCCATAATTGCATTTAACCTTTTTACTAATGGCATTGCCTGTTTGAGGAAATTTGTTAAAAGCAGGAAGAATATAGTGTTACTAGTATAAAGAATTGATATGTCATACAAAAAGGACCAGTTGACCTTGATGAGTAGAATGACAGATGTGTGCTGAAATTCAGCAGCTCAAAATGTAATAATAATAAAAATAAGTAGTATTACAAATTTAGACTGGAACTTAGAATAGAGAATCTTGCCTCAATCAGGATTAAAACCAGCCTTTCAATAAAGTGGGTGCTTTTTTTGGTGCTCAAATTGTTTATGAAAAGTATTTTGTGATACGTCTGCAAAAAAAAAAGGCAATTTAATTTCATTTCAGCACTGCAATTTGATCCCGTGATTCAGTGATTACTCTCAATTAAATGGGTTATGTCTCAATATAAATATGACTTTCTAGAAAAAAAGGATAGATACACTTCTTTAATGAAGGAATTTGTTGGTGTTTAAATGATGTGTCAGTCGCGCAGCCTAGAGAACAAACACCGTTGGCCAAATCCTCAGCTGATAATAAATCATCACCGAACTTAACAAGCTGTCACATATTGTATCAGTGTGGTTGTAAACTTTGAACTCGGTATGGCAACTTCTATGTGCAAAGATCTTTGTCCTTGCAGAATTTGAGCTGGAATGGATGAGGGGAAAAAGGATTTATACTGGACGACAAAATGCCTTGGGTAGTATTTCTTTCCGAGTAGCACTGTGACACCATGTGTAACAAAGTGCCTCCAACTTCTCAGTATAGAAACAGATACAGATTGTTTTATATTTGGTTCTGCATGCTGAACTGCATTATTTGGTTCTGCATTACTGTCTGCCAAGTGAGAAGGAAAACAGAAAAAGTACTGTTTATTTGTGCTTGAGAGGCGTTTTCCTGCTAGTCTAAACAAAAAATAGATCATTGACTGCAAACAGCAGCTTGTATGCCTTCTTTTTCATAGTTTGCAGAAAACAGATAAGGGACTGCTATGAAAACATGGCTATAATCTCACTTTTATATAGTTAAAATCTCAGTCATACCTTGTTTAGTGCTTAGCTTTAGCATAGTGGTTTTTGTCCTAGCATTTTCTTATTCAATACAAAGATAAGGCAGCACAAGAAGATCCTCTATGCTTGTTTTCTTATGAATGACTGTACTTCTAAATACAAAATATACCAACGGTGAGTTTTAAGTAGCACATACCTCTACAAGTGCATTCACAATTAAAGCAAATCTGCTTGCTTTGTAGTTCGTGGAGTATGTGATCAGCTTGCAAGACTGAGCTTCCTTTTTTCCATGGTTTTAACACATTCAGATGCAAATGCTTTCAATGTGTTTGGACCACAGTACAGCAAAATGTTGGTATCACAAGGATGTGCTTTGAAGATTGAACTATGGCAATTTAGATGTGTTCTAAGAAAAGTTTTGCTTAGTGGAAATTCAGTACGAAATTCTGTTTTAAGAATTTGGGTGAGAAAACCCATCCATTAGGATTCAGATGTTTTTAGGGTAAAAAAAGTCAGAATGATTCCAGCACATAGTCCCAGGGGGCTGCAAAAAAATAGTGAAATGGAGACAACTGTAAGATTATCATAATAGTTTTTTTAGGCTATGATTTTTTTGTATCTAGTGCAAGACTCCATCACAAACTAGAAAAGAAGGCAACAGAGACAGAAGCAGTGAAACACACTACGACAGAGACATTAAAAACGCAATAAAACACTAGTACCCTAGTGAAAAAGAATTTACCAGCTTTATTAAGGAAAGAAACTAAATGACAGCAGTAGCATTCAAGAAGGTTAAGTATGTAGGTAAACTTGAACTGTACCTAGGTTGCTCTGTAAATCAACTTCACTTTTATTCATCTCATGCTCTGTAATTCCAGCACCGATACAATATTACTGACTCTGTTTTTTTACTACTGATGAAACCGAACAACCGTAGAGAATCACATCTCCTTACTGACAATGAATGTCTTGCAGCTTCCTCTGGAGCACTTGGACATATCTATTGTCTCAAGATACAACTGCAGATGCAGGATTTAACAGCCCAACACTGCAAATGTTATTTCAATAAAAAGAGATCTGTTGCATGAACTTCTCATGGAAGATCTTACCTTTTCTTACCACTTTCCTTTGGAGTATGTACACAACCACTTGAGTTGTTCTGTGTGCTAGAAATCTTCAAAGCATTACCAAAAAGATTTTTATTTTCTCTACCGCTACTGTGAGGATTGCCACAACATGATTGTTAGTAGAGGTCGTGCATCAGCAGCCTCACTAGCGTATTATCCAATTCTACCTGAGGGCAGATGCAACAATTATGAAGCAACCTCAGCCTTGCTTCTGAGCTGCCCCTTCTGCTGTTGTAAAAACTAACCCAATCATACAAAACAACTTGCTAAGGAAATGTTAAGGAAAATGTTAATGGAGATAAAGCCTGGTTACACACAACAGTTTTTGCATGACCTTATTTAGATTAGAGTAGCTTGCTCTAGTCTTCAGAAGGGGGGACACAGTTCCTTCTGAGCTTCATGTAACACTAGAATTCTCCAGATAGAATGCACTCATTGGATCAGTTTGACATATTTAGCCTGTGATCTCTGAAGAAAAAAAAACCCTTGTCACTAGATCTTGCTCAGAAGAATCACCCTAATAATGAAGGAAACAAGTTTAAGAGCAGTGTTAGCTAAAAACTTCCCATCAAATGTGGGCTGCTTTTTATTGGGAGCAGGATGCGGGTAGCGTGAGAGGTTTCAGGCATGAAATTACATTTTAACTGAACACCTTTTTCTACATTCTTTGAAGGGCACCATAGTCGATTAACCAAGACACCAAGAAGTTGAAACAGAAATACCATTGGGTGAAAAATATCCACTTTTTGGCATTGGACTTTTTAAAATATTTCCAGCAAAGTCAGTTTTCAAAAAGAATTTTTGCCAAGTTTATTCCCCTTTTTCTCCCCATTTTCTTCAACATTTTGTGGTGTATTCATACTCCTTTACTTTTCGAGCAGCTATATTCAAAAATGTTGGCTGTCTCTGATGCTTACCATAATCTATCTGCATGATCTTGAGCAGGTTCCTCAGTATTCTTTTGAGATAGTTCTTTATCTACAGGAAAGGGACAGGGTTTTTTTCCTCCAGTGTACCTGTTGTGAGGTTACTGATGCAAAGTTTAATAATTTTTGTGAAGTATTTCAATTTTTTCCAATGGGTAGCACTGAGGTAACTATTTGGGATCTTTCATTACCACACACACATTACAGACAGGTATTCTGTCACTGCCAACAATGACTGCATCTGTTTTGCTTTAAAATATCATGAAGGAGACATTTTTATTTTCTGGCCAAGTGGAATGGAATAACTCATGTCCACACAGTTTAGTTCTTCTGTCTATAATAGGAATAGACACATGCACATTGCATATTATTCAGAGATGTCTCTAATTTAATCTGGATCTCACAGACCTATCTGCCTTCTCCCTCTATGCATAGACAATTTAGGCTTCTGGAACTGCTGCCAAATTCCTAGATCCACTACCAAGTTCCCGGTGTGCTGTGTGGTGTCTGGAAGAGCACAAGCTCTAGAAATGCAAGTGAGCAGTATGTGGGAAACATTAACTGCTGTAGCTAAACAGTATTAAAACTAAGTCAACTACAGTAAAAGACAGAAGCTTTGGAGTGCCACTGCCTTTGGCACAAAAGCCTTTCCCAACTTGATACTGGGCATGCCCCTTAGCCTCAGAACAAAATTGTAGATGCTGCTCCCTACTATCAGAGCATCGGGGGTCTTCCACTACTTCACAAAAAGATGCAAGAGATTCCTGTCCTATTTCAGAGTACCTGCAGCCTCTCTTCAGCAGAAACTGCATGTCCAAAAGCTTCACGTTCACAAAAACTTTGTCTGGCATATTTTTAATATGTTAAAAGGATCGGTTTCTCAGATTATGTGGATTTTGAGTTGTCAATAAAAAGGCTTTTTGTGACAAATGTTACATTCCCAGCTGAGGGCCACTAAATAGTTTTCTACATTGAAGTCACAAGGATAATGCCTGGCAGCTTCGTGACCACTAAGAAAAGAGGAACAGGACTGGATATTGGGAAAGCATGTTTTAGTTGTGCTCCATAATTTTTAGCACTTAATGAGAGCCACAGAGCAATGAATAGCTTCTACAGAAAGAAAGTAGCTGTGCATATTCCCCAATCTTACATCCCAATGGCCAATTGGTTCCAGTTAGACTCACCTCCTGATCTCATAACAATGATGGTGAGCAGCACAAACATATACACAGTCTTCCCAGAAATCTTCATGTTGGTTCCTGCTTTCATGCCTTAGGCAGCTCCGTCACTCCATCCATCCCGACACCAACTTAACTGTGGTCACGGGGAGCGTTTATTGCCTGCCAGTGCACCCTCAGCAGTCGGTGTCAAGTGTTTCCTTCTCTCCCTTTCCAACTCCTCTCTTCTAGCTGTGCATGCTCCTGATCAACTGGCTCCTCAAAGCTGAAGAGGTTCCTCCTTCTGACTTTTCAGAGCACTAAGCTTCCTGTGCTGAGAGCCTGGGCGAACACTGAGGAAACAGGCTGAGCAGTTCTGCCTTCCGTTCATTGGCTCTCCTCGGGAGGCTGATAAGTGAAGATAAACCCTGCAGCAGAGTTCAGAAAGGGTAAAAGCAGAGGACATTATGCAAGGCTGAGTTTAATATCAAAAAGGAAATGTTAGTCTTGGGAAGCTAGAGAGAAACTTATTCTTCGTGTTTGTCATGTCTGTTACTACTACCACTTCTTTGACACTTCTTTGGCACTACCTCCAAGACAATTCTTCCTTGTATCTTCCTCAAGAGAAAAAAAAAAAAAAAAAGCAGTCTTAAACCTTTTCTGTAAGTGACATTTTTAATTATTTCTTTCTTAGCTGCTGGCAGCACAGTTCTCATCTTGAACAACAAGTCTATCCAGACCCTGAGAACAGAAACTGAGTTTTGAGGGGAAAGAAAAGTCTATTTTAAATTCTATTCAACAGAAATGAGACAGAAACTGAAGGTGGCCTACATCTTTCACTTAAAAATTGGTTTGTTTGGGGATTTTTTTCAGAATACTTTCGTGAGGGTTGTTTTAAAATAATACTGTACCTGTTTCTCCACTTCCTCACTGAGCTACTAATTTCAGATTCAGAGTTCTGTCTCCCTTCTTAAGCCACAGCACTTCCCCAGTACAGTTCTGTGGGTCAAGGAGAAAAAAGGCTTCAGCTTTTTGTCTTGTTTGAAAGCTAGGAGTCAGAGTAATTACCACGGAGGACAGAGACATAAGAAGTAAATACAGAAAACAGATCAAAATTGGCAGGAAATGAACTGCTCAGGCATTAGGACTGCACACCATGTTTGAACTCTCTTGATGACTGCAGTCTGATATTCTGGTAATTTTGTTTGATCAGACTGGTATTCCAAAATTGTCTGCATTGATGTTCACTGGAACAGAGGAGTGTGAGTTAAGGTCTTATGTAAATAAATAAAAAAAAGACTGATAATGATCATGTAAAGAAAATAATGTAAGACACAAATTTAGCTGGATCATCTTGGTCCCAGGACCATCTCATTGGCTATAGTTTTTTGTGGGAGGGTGTTCTGCATATTTCCCCCCCTTGATTTTTTAAATACAATATCACATTTTGACACTCCTCCGCTTTTCAATGTGCTATTTTCAGTAACATTGGTTTGTTTTCTGAGTATTTATCATTGACCTTGGAATTAGTAATGCATGTGAATAGATATCATAGCTGTATTTTAGACAAGGGCATGGAGAGGAAGAAGAGGTCTTTTTGTAAGTAGAAATTAAGATACAAGGCTGGAGAGAGAACATGTAATCAGTATCAGGCCTCCAAGGTAAAAGAGGTGCTCAAATTTGATGCAAAGACAAGAGGAAACTAAGGTGGTATAAATGTGCAGATGTAGTGTGTTGGGTACAAGACTGCTGCATAAATATAAAAATTTAAAATATTCAGTGGGATAGAGGAGATTTTGGAAGAGAACAAACTCTCTTTTAAACAAGAAAAGTCCTACTTTAAATTGTCATCATGAAAGATCTTTGCTACAGGAAATTCATTCAGAACCAGAAGTTAGACAGATGGATTCTTTTGGTAGGAAAATATTATTTAAGATGCCATTAAGACTCTTTGGGAGCAACTTCTGGTTGAAGGCAGCAAAACTTGGGAAGTGTCACAGAAGTCTGCGGCAGGACATGACAGGAAACATAAGTTTACCACAAGAAGTGATGAACACTTTATTTCTTAGTCACAGGAGCCTGTTCTCTAACTTGCACAATGAGAGCCAGGATCCCACGACATAGAATTCACAGGATCCTAGAATGGTTTGGGTTGGAAGGGACCTTCAAGATCATCTCTTCCAACCCTCCTGCCACAGGCAGGGACACCTTCCCCAAGAGCAGGTTGCTCAGGGCCCCATCCAATCTGTCTTTGAATACAGCCAGGGATGAGACACCCACAACTTCTCTGGGCAAAATCTGTTCCAGTGTCTCACCACTCTCACAGTAAATAATTTCTTTCTTATATCTAATCTAAATAAATACCCTCTTTCAATTTAAAGCTGTTCCCTCTTGTCCTACCACTACATTCCCTTGCAAGCTCCCTCTCCATCTCTCTCGTAGGTCCCCTTTAGATACTGGAAGGCTGCTATAAGAACTCCCCAGAGCCTTTTCTTTTCTAGGTTGAATAACTCCAACTCTCTCAGCCTGTCTTTATAGTACAGGGGCTCTAGATCTCTGATCATCTTTATGAACATCCTCTGCACTCGCTCCAGCAAGTCCATGTCCTTCTTATGTTGGGGACACCAGAACTGGATGCAGTACTCCTTGTGGGGTCTCACCAGAGCAGAGCAGAGGGGGAGAATTACCTCCCTCGACCTGCTGGCCACACTGCTTTTGATGTGGCCCAGGATGTGTTTGGCTTTCTAGGCTGTGAGTGCACACTGATGGGTCATGTTGAGCTTCTCACTCACCAGCACCTCCAAGTCTTTCTCCTCAGGGCTGCTTGCCCCGACCCAGGTGTGGGACCTTGCACTTGGCCTTGTTGAACTTCATGAGGTTTGTACAGGCCCAGCTCTCAAGCCTGTCAAGGTCCCTCTGGATGGCATCCCTTCCCTCCAGCATGTTGAACACACCACACAGGTTGGTGTTGTTGGTAAACTTGCTGTGGGTGCACTCAGTCCCTCTGTCCATGTCGCCAACAAAGATGTTGAACAGCACCAATCCCAATATCAACCCCCGGAGGAACACCACTCATTACTGCTCTCCACGTGGACATGGAGCCATTGACCACAACTGTTTGAGTGTCACCATCCAGCCAAATCCTGATCCACCACGTAGTCTGTGCCTCTCCAGTTTAGAGACAAGGATGTTGTGTGGGACAGTGTCCTGTGCTATGTACAAGTCCAGGTAGATGACATCAGTTGCTCTTTCCTCAGCCACCGTTGCTGTAACCTTGTTGTAGAAGGCCACCAAATTTGTCAGGCACTATTTGCCCGTAGTGAAGCCATGTTGGATGTCACAAATCACCTTTTTATTTTCCATTTGCCTTGGCATAATTTCCAGGGGGATCTGCTCCATGATCTTGCCAGGCACAGAGGTGAGAATGACGAGTGTGTGGTTCCCCAGGTCTTCTTTATTTCCCTTTTTAAAAGTGGGGGTTATGTTTCCCCTTTTCAGTCAGTGGGAACTTTACCAGACTGCCATGACTGGTCCTGAGAAAGACCAGAGTGAGACAGAGGATGACCCAGATGGAGAAATAATGCATGTAGAGGAGTGAAATTTGTCTGTTTTTGCTGGCTGCATCAATTAGAAGTGTGGTGTGCATTTGATGGAAAGAAGAAAAAGTGGAAAGAAAACTGAAGCCTGAGACGTAGTTGAGGATGAAGACATTGTCAACAAAGTGCAACTAAGGATACATTTTCAGTAAGTTCCCATTTCCACACAGCAGTAGAGAAAGTCAAGCACTGTTTGTTTAAGGTGCTATGCAGAACCATCACAGCCTTGCTGGAGACTGAACTTTCCCTGTCTTCTCAGTTCTGAGAGCACAGATCTAGGTTCTGCCTGTGGTTTTCATTGTGGGTTATTGCAGAACTATTTTATGTTAATTATCATAATGTCATCAGATATTATTTGACAGTCTCTGTGATCTGCTCTGTTTGAAGTGGTTTTACTCAGTTTAAAGTCCTTGCTGACAGCAGATTCCATGCTAGTAACTCATTCAGCAAGAAGGGCAGGAGCTGTAAAGCTGAATTTTAATCAGCAAGGTGCAGACAAAAGTTCATTCCAGGAACTTCAATTCCAATGGTGACAGGAATATCAGAGTGCTAGAGCCCCATCTGGTATAAACTTAAGCTGGCCTAGTCTTGCTGACTTCACATGAAGCTACCATGACTTTCTCCATGTGTAGCCAGCTGTAGCTGGCTTCCCGCCAAACCCCACAGACTACAGAAGAAAAGCTCCCAGAAGAGAGAGAAGAAAAAAAACGGAATAGCAAGAGCTATATAAAAAATATATATATTTTACATATATTACAGATATACAATTAAGGTGCTATGTACATATGAACACAGGAACCCCAAATCGCTCCCAAAAGGGAAAGAAGGGAAGGGAAGGGGGAAAAAGGACATAAAGGGACAAAAATGGGCAAAACCAAAACTTCCTTGGTCACTTCTCTAGTTCCTTCCTGGTTACAAGCTGGTCTCCAGGAAGGCCTAGACTGAAAGTATCACACCATGTAAGAATTCTCCCTGCTGTCTCTTTCTGTGTCAGCTGAGGATCCTAAAGGTACAGAAGCTCAACAGGCTGCAGATAAATTAGTAAATCCAATTATCTCTGAAGCCGGAAATGGTTCTGAAAAAAAAAAAAAATCATGATTTTCTGTGTACTGACAGATCTGTTTTGCTCACTGAGTAAGTACTCAGTCCATGAAATACAATGGTTTTGTGTGGCAACTTGGCAAGGAAGTAAAATTAAGGCTGGATTACAGTATGAAATGGCCTTGTTCAATGTATAGGGTATTAAAACCAATTTAATTATTTCAGAGATAGCAGTGTATGTTACACTTGTCCCTGAATTTCCTGCCTTTTGATGACCTTAGAACCTAGAACTTGTTATAATGATGGAAAAATAATTTCAGAAGTTTTATTTGCATACTCAGTAACAAAAGACATTAATTTTGTATATGGAGGTATGAGAAAGAGAAAACAAAAGTATTGGATAGCATCATTCTTGTGTGGGCAGATGCAAAAGTTCTATATCTACTTAGCTGATGCACTTTGCTCTGACTGGCTG